TCAGAGAAGAGGTACACTACTTGGTTATTAGTTACAACTACATAACCCATAAAAACTGACTACATGGTGGCTAAAACTCTACTAAAACTCTACTGAGAGGCTGGGCATATAATCCTCCCATTATATTGCTATGTACCCCCCCCCACTGGGTAATTAGCATACACATGCCAATAGGTGGCAGTAAATAGCAGTATACGTGCAAACTAAAACCCTAAACTGATTCACACACTTTACTTAGCCATAACAATAACAATATTGTTTTGCAGATAACGAGATGAATCCTTTCCATGAGAAAATCCTAACAGTATTAGGATACACAAATGCTTCCAAAGCTTGTTGGAAGATAGAAATTACCAAATTATAATTGGTCCTCATATTTGGAGGTATAAAATCCAGATGTTAATGTCAAAACTATTTTCATTTTTCTGATTCTCATGGACAGCATTTTCCAGTTCAGGAAAGATATCTCCTTTTGGAACCATCAGGGTGAATCTATCTGATAGAGAAGCCACCCTTATGCCCCAGGACTAGTGAGCAGAACGGTTGGGACTTGTACGAACACATCCTTATTAGGGTTAGAGTTGTTTATTTTTTCCATTAGAGTTTTGTTTTGCTTAGGGTCTCTCTCTCTTTCCTGTCCCACTAGGGTTTGTCACCTTAGCCTTATCTGCCCAACCAACAGGAGACAAATCATAAACAATAATGCTCCTGCAGCTATCATTGCAGTTGCAGAAAATAACAATAGGACAAAGAGAAAAAAATCCACACATCTTTCCAAAACTAAATCGGACATAAATATAAAAGAGGCACACACATGGTTCCTGACTCCTTTCTAGATCCAGAACATCAGAGTTTGCAGCTGACTCTCCTCTCCTTTCACTTCTGCCAGACCAAAAGTCCACCTCCTAGGAAATCCAGCATACTTCTTCATGACACCAAGCCAGTCCGGGAAGCAGTAGGCCATCTCCTGGATCTAAAGTAGGATTGGTTGCAAACCAGATCAGATCAGTGGGTGAGAGGTACAGTTCCATAAAGACATAAGCTTAGCCTAGACCTAACTCTATTCTAGTCCTCTATTTTTTTTCTCTCAATGGTCAGTCAGGTGCCTCTGAGATACTCAAAAGCAAGAGTCAGAGACATGCCCATCTCCTGCCATTGCTCCCCTGCAGCTTGTATTTGGAAGCATGCTGCACCCAACCCAAATTCAGAACACTAAATCTTCAAGACTAATAGCATAAGATAGAGATGTCATTTAAGAATCCACCCAATTCTCTCTTTAAAAAAATTCAAGAGTTTATTTCTGGCATTTGCCCACCAGCCAAGAGGTGAATTCATTGGCTCCTCACAATCATAACCTTCTTTGAAACGTCTGAAATTTGTCAGAACCATCCAGTCTTTACTAGAGAGTGAAACTCTCAAGATTTCATGTCCCAAGTGAAATTTTTGTTTTTAGTGCCCCAAAATAACTGAAATGCCAGGGTGTTGATGATTTCAAATGGTGAACAAACATTGCAGCAAAAAGGTGTTTCCAGTTCAAAATTCTGAAGTCCATCTTGGTGGTCATCAGTAAGGAGGACTTTCTGGCATTGCTAACCTTATTGGAAGTGTACCTCTTCATCTAAATGAGAGAGAGAAAAAATCAGTAGCATGGAAACTTATATCAGAGCCTTGTATCTGGCTTGACTTCAACTCTCCAGGTGTTTATGACAATCTACAAGATTCTCTTATGGATGGAAAAACAAAACATCTGTACTCCATTAGGATGGAATCTCACAATAATCTAGCTGACTGGTTCAGGTGTCGGACAATATAAAAATCAAAATGATCATTGAACCATTATTCCTTTTAATAGTTCATATTCAGTTTTGGCAACCCAATCCTGGATTTGTTTGCCCTGCAACAGAAAGCTCAAGTACCAATTCATGTCAACATTCCCATCTCTGAAGTTGTTTGGGCTAGATGCTTTTATGACAAATTGGCCATCAGGGCTTCTGAATGCCTTTTGGAATGATCAAAAAGATCAGGCAAAATGGGACCCAAATGATTCTGGTGATATCTCATTGGCTTCAACACTTTTGATTTCCAGAGCTCCTAGAATTAGTGGGGGAGAATTACTGGAGAATACCAATCAGGAAGGAACTGCTAATCTAAGGATCAGTTGTACATCCTCTGCCAAGCCTTCTCCATCGGATAGGGTGGAAGCTGAATGGCAGAATTTAAGTTTTTCAACAGAGGTTCTGAAGAAATTGTTGTCTTCTTGGAAACTTCAACTAATAGGATTTATGGCAGAATTTGGAAGGCCTTTTTGACTTTGTAGTGATGGTGTTTCCATCACCAGTCTCGCTTTTCCATTCCAATTTGGGAAGTCAGAATGACCCACTCTGTGTGAGAAGCACAATTTTTTAAAGAAGATCTTGCCACTTTGCTACAGCAGGATAGACCATCTCCAAATTAGAAAAAGCCCTCTGGGATGCTTATAAAATAAAAATATACAGCAAGTACTGTGCTATTTTTCTCCCATTAGGTATATATCTCTTTTAGTCAGTGAAAAACAGGACAATATTTAATAAAGATGGATATAGTTTATCTTTGTCCATACTCCATCTAAAATTATATCTGGAACAGATAATGCTTAAACACCACCTCCTTCTTCCCTCCTCATTTTTTTCCTGAAATTTAATGACCTCGCCCAATCAAGAGTTCTTGTAACTTCAACAGCTTGCAACTGCTTTGTAAATAAACTTTCCATTTGCCAATAAGGTATTGCTTCAGTTTTAACAAGTTATGGGTCATGGCTATTCTTTTTCATTCTATTTTTGTGTTTGATTTTAATATATCCTACAAGTTTCTTCCATGCTCATTTCTACAGACATATGAGTACATTTCCCAGCCTTGTGTGTGATTAAACATTTGGAATCAGTATTAGAAGTCACAGCACAAGGAAATGATCATTGTATTAATCAGCAATAAGTACTTCATTAATTACAATGTTGAATGTAATCTAGACCAGTGTTTCTCAACCTCAGCAACTTTAAGATATGTGGACTGCAACTCTCAGAATTCCCCAGCCAGCGTGCTAAGATATGTGGAGCTGAAGTCCACACATCTTAAAGTTGCTGAAGTTGAGAAACACTGATCTAGACTAATATTAAGAATAAAACACCAGTATATTCAATATAACCTTATAAAGAGGGAGAAGAGAAAGAAAGAGTTACTATAACCAACTATATTTTTATGACCTTTTCCTATGGGATCTTGAAGGGATCATTGTCTTCTTCAGCACCATCCTTCTTCCCCAACTTTATTTTGTGCTATCAAGAACCTATCCTCAAAAATTTTAAGAAATGTGACATTCATTTTTGAATTTCAGCCCCTGAAATTCATAGATCTCAGAGTCAAGACAATAAAATATCTCAGAAAAAAACGGTTACACTCTCTGTATAAAGAGCAACATGTGTGACTAAGGACCATCTCATATTTATTATGGATTAGTGTTGCATAAAGTGAAATGTTAACTCTGAAGCTTGGGGGTCATGCTTTCCAATAAGGGCAGGCAATATTTTGTGGCTGGGGGCTGTGCTTTTTCATGAAAATCTGTCCTGCTAAAAACTGCTGTTTTGTGACCACATTTTAGTAACTTTATTTGGAGACTTCTACAAGCTATATGTTCACTCCTGTTTTAAGAGTAACCCTAAACATGATTTTTCAGGAGTATGACTAATTTAAATATAGTAGATCTTCATTTTGAATAAATATATATGGGACTGGGCTGTAAATCATTGCCTAAAGTCAGATACTAAGGGTTTTTTTCCCCCATACATGATATTTAAATTAAATTAAATTTAAATTTATAAAATTAAATAATTTTTGTTATGCAGTCCTTTTAAATTTACATTGGTACAAATCAGTGCACTTCAGGTTTTGTTGCCAGCCATAAAGTTATAGAGTACAGATAATGAACTGAATTATTGATATTTACTGGAAGTCCTCTAAAATTATGTGCAATAAGAGCATTTGTCCCTAGTGTAAACTAATGTACCCTGTGTCACTTGGTAGCACACCAGCGCGGGAGCGGAAGGCTCTGGGCAAGCACTGGCCTCTCCGGGCTCCTGCCTTGAAGAATTCCGCAGCGCCCCGTTCGTTGAGTGCCATGGGAAGGGCACCTGCAATTATTACGCCAACGCCTACAGCTACTGGCTTGCCACCATTGAGAGGAATGAAATGTTCAAGTAAGTTGGAAGCCTGCTGTGTTAGCTGCTCTAAGATAAGGGGTGTTTTTACCTATGTTCCATAGTAAACGTAAGTATGGCTGGATTGATCCAGTAATGTGTTTTGCAACTTTTATCTATTTTTGGCTTGTTTTCCTTGTGTTTTTAACCTGTCCCAATATTTCAATGGCTTATGGCCAATTTTGAGTTTGGCCACCAAGAGTGCTTTTGAGCATTGCAGCCAATGTGCTGCTAATTGGTGGTTTGCACTGTGAAGCAGCAATGTCTCCTCAGTCTTTTCTGCTGCTTACTTGGGGGCATGTTTTCTATTCCAGGCTTAATCTGGCTACTATTTCCACCGGCTTACCAGGAATATATGGAGTATAGCAGCTAATTTGAGAGAGTTGACACTGTGACTTCTACCCAGGGAAATATCAGACCACCATGTTTGTAGGAGGCACTTTATAGAAATGGCAATTCCTACAACTTAGGAATTTGCTTTCCATCTGGTTAGGAAACAAAGATTTGACCCTTCTAACAATCCCATCTTTTATGTATCAACTTGGAAATCAATCATGCCTCCCAGAGTCACATTAGTGAGATGGGTAGTCATATAAATCAAATTAATTACAGGTAGTCCTCACTTATTGACCACTCATTCAGTGACTGTTCAAAGTTGCAACAGTGCTGAATGGGTGGTACTTATGACCGGTCCTTGAAGTTCCAGATGATGCAGTGTCCCTGTGGTCATGTGATCATGATTCGGACGCTTGGCAACCAGCTCGCATTTACAACAGTTGTAGCATTCTGTGGTCACATGATCGCCATTTGCAACCTTCCCTGCTGGCTTCCCACAAACAAAGTCAATGGGGAAACCAGCAGGAAAGGTTGCAAGATGATCTGGTAAATCTGTCTGGTGTTCCTGCGCTTGCGCTGTGCCATTCACCCCCCAGCCTTCCTGCACTTGCACTGCGCCATCCAGCTGCTGGTCTTCCTGCACTCGTGCAGCGCCATACCATCTACCCCCGACCTTCCTGTCCTTGCACCAGGCCATCCACTGGCTGGCCTTCCTGCGCTTGTGCGTGCCATTCACCCCAGACTTTCCTGCACTCACGCTGTGCCATACCAACCATCCCTGGCCTTCCTGTGCTTACGCTGCATCATACCATCCACCCCCAGCCTTCCTGCGCTCATGCCACACCACACCACCCACCTCTGGCCTTCCTGCACTTACGCACGGCCTGCACCTGCCCTCCCAGGGCCTGGCCCAACCTCCCCCAACTCATTCATGTCCTGCACTGGCCTTCCCAGCCTCCTCCAACCCCTCATGGCACCCCCCCGTCCCCCTGCAGCACCCCCACACTCCTTACTTGGGGCTTCTGCTGTTTCCCACTTAACAACCTGCGCATCTTGGGGTTACAATGGCAACTGGGACTGTCGTCGCTAAGTGATGCAGTCACGTGATGTTGCATTTTATGATCGCATCACTTAGTGACAGCAATCCCAATCCCAATTGCCATTGTAACCTGAGGACCACCTGTATGTAAATGCCAGACTCAATGGTAGCAGGTAATAGGGTTGTATTCTGAGTCTCAGAATTCTGTGCTCAGGGACAAAGGTAAGCAACCTGAGGCCCTCCTAGTGGGTTTGACTTCAACTTCCAGGCAGCCTGGCCCATAGAATGAATGTGGAAATGATCACACAAGAAGCCTGGACTGCAACAACAAATTTCACTGTGCCTTTTGTTTTTTCCTCGCTGACAGTGACTTTTGTTTTCAATTTTCAGAAAACCTACGCCTTCCACACTGAAGGCTGGAGAACTACACTCAAATGTTAGCCGCTGCCAAGTCTGTATGAAAAGAACATAATGACTTCCCCATTGTACCTAATTTCACAATATGGTGCTATTCTGTTAACAGCAGTGAAGCTTAGGCATATATCCTCTGTACCTCACTGTTACCAGGTATAAAGCCATCAAGTGCCTTACAGGAATCTGCCTGACTAAATTCTCTACGTTTTTGGCCTTTGTATGCTGAAGAGGAAGAAGATACAATGGAGACAATGCTTCAGATGGCACTTTTGAGGAAACCTGATTTTGTACGTCAAGGTGATGCACTGAAGCCTGCTCTAAATAAAAAAGGAGGATCCAGTTCTGCCCCATGTGTGCAACTCCCTTTTTCCAAGTGCATGCTTTACATATATGGGATTCTATCATAGTTAGGATGTTTGTTAGACAAATTGACCCATACCAACAGGACGTCTGGACCCAAAGTATTGTTGGAGAGCAATAGTCCTGACTGACACAGCAGCATGCCAGTGTTTCCTCTTGCATGGCATTAAAAGGCCTGGACCTAAGGAAGCAGAATTCTGGCTGAGAGATTGAAGGTTTCTGCTCTGTGGTACTACATGGCCCTTTCTAGTCCACCTTCCTGGGGAATACAGGTTGGACCAGCGTGTGTGCAAGCCGATTGGTGTTGAATATTTATATACTAGCCATTCCGCAAATGAAGCATTGAACGCTTTTTAATTATAAGGTATTTTTCCTTAGTATCCACTCTCATGTTAGAGGATATATGAGAAATAACTAATCCTCCTAGATAATGATCAAATTGTCTAGAAAAAAAAGCTAGTCAACTACCTGGTGATTACTCCAGTAATATTCAGATCTTGAGCTTCTTCTTTATGTATTTAATATTTTCAGGGTTTTAAAGCACTAATACACTGAATGACTTGATTTTAATATATAAACGGCCTTATGATTTGGTTGAATCTTTTAGTTAATAAACCCACATGCTTATATTGGGTTTCTATAAAATATGCTGATAATTCAAAAAATCATATGTAAAACAGGTTGTATAAAAATTATATTAAAATACTTTTTAAAATAGTCCCTCTTGGTAAATCCTTCACAGTGGACCTTTCAGAAATTAAAGTCTGTAATAAAACAATTTGTATAAAAATATTTTTTGCAGCAATGGTTTTTTGATTTTGAGAAGCTGGTTGTATGGACTTAAGGTTACTTTGATTCCAGATGTGTAGCCATCATCTTAGAACTGATATTTGCAGATGTTCCTCTTATTCAACACATAACTCAAGTGGATAAAGTTTAACATATTCCTTTAAACTATTCAGAATTGCTGAGTGGAAATGTAGGAAGTATTACCTTGCAAGCATTTAAATGGAATGCAGATGACTGATAAGGCAGGTCACTAACATTTAAAAGCACCCGTGCGCCCGCACACACACGTGTGTGTGTGTGGGTATATATATATATACACACATACACACACACGTGCATCAACCAACATCAGCGGTGATACTTTTTCTGATATTAGTAAGGAATTATGTCAAACAGATTAGACATCCTTAAAAGTCTCAGGCTGAGTTAAAAATCTATTATGGTCCATATGGAATAAGAAACATAATGGAGGAGGATGTTCCAATGGAGTGTGTGAAAATCAAGCACCATTCAGGATGAAGTTTTAAAACTGATTTGATAGGAAATCTTAATTAAGCAACTCAAACAAGAATTAAAGACTGAATTGGATGAGTCAACAAATACAGTCCAATAGGACTTGGTAGGTATGGTTGAACAAGTTAACAAACAACTAAAAAAAATGCCTTTTCAAATTTTAGGTTGTCCAGACTGATAGCAAAGCGTAAGATATTACTATGGAAAATAAGCTTGATTTTGGAAAAGTTCAGGAAGATATTACAGACTTTATGCAGGAGTTGGCTGATGTGTAGAATAAAAAAAAAATAGTTTGAAAATTAGAGGAATTAATGTCAAAATGACTTTAATTTAATTTAATTGGATCTCTTATTTCAATACTTAATGACAAGCTATTTAAGTTTAAGATTTAAATTTCAGATAAAGATGGAGACTATAGAGTCTTTACTCCTAGGTTCAACCAGATGTCAAAAACCAAGGAATATAATAATAATATTTGTAAATGCTTGGTGAGAGACAGAATTTTGCAAAATGTTTGTGAGCTGGAAGGGATAATTTGACATAGATATTAATCCAGTCATGTTACAAAGAAAAAAAGCCTTCAAGCCTTTGACAGAAGAATTATAAAAAATGGTATAAATGGGGGTTTCCATTCAAGCTAGTTTTATTTCAACCACAAGGAAGAGAAGATATTTCTATGCTTCAAAAGATGAATAAAATATTATAAAACTAAATAATACTTTATAAAGAAGTAATCAAATGAAATTGTTTATTACAGCCACAAGGCCAGATACAGTGAAATATCCAATAGTAGAACTGTTATATAAATCAATATATATAACAGAAAAACAATGAGTATAATATGTATAAATCTTATAAAGAACTAATAGAGAAGAACCTTTGAGGTTTAAATAATTGATATATAAGAAGAAGGTAAGATTTTAAAAAATCTTTTAGCGTTTGGGACTTAATAGATGGTTGATTGTTACGAAACAAGTGTTTCAGATTGTTTCATATTGGGAAACAATTGGGAAATAAGATGAAATGGAGAGAATGGCACTGTATTATATAGAGTTTAATAGAATGTCAAGAGGGGTCTGGAAGAGGAGAATTAGAGCTAAACATAGATTCCCCTAAACTAGAAGAATCAGAGAATTTAATTTTATTAAATTAATTTAATCTGTGCTCTTCTGTTCAAATGAGGTCTAAATGGGTTGCAAAGGTGAAGATGAATGGGGAGGGGAACTGGGGGAGGGTTGGGAAAAGGGACTATAGGAACCAAATCCAAATCTTTATTATTAGGGCCATAGGCCAGAAGTCAAATACGATACAATCAATACAACGAAATGTATCTGTGTGTGTATGTATACATATACATACTATTAGTACTGTATACAAAGATAGACATAAAAAGTTACAATAAAGCAAAAAATAGAAGGTAAAAATTGTTACAGTTCTTCAGTCAAAATGAAAGATGGATGGTATACATGAAGGCACAAAATTCAGCAATCCTGGAGGGTAGATCTGAATCCCGGTTGGATACAAAGAGAGACAATATAAGTTGTGTTCACTACCTGGGAGTTTCATCAGGATGGGATGGATGAAACTGATTCAGGATTCTCTGTAAAAAGGGCAGCAAAGAAGCATATAGCTCAAAGACTCTACTGAGCCACTCACAAGGGCCTGTGCACTGAATGTTTTGTAATGTCCCAGCAAAACAGCCAAAGGCAATACATCCAACCTCGCCTGTTGAAGCTTCAAAACAGTAATGGAAGAAAGGTAGAACATTGGTGCATAACCATTTGAAAAAAAATCTCAAGAGCTGTAAGGTAACAAACCAGTTAGATTGATCTGGAAATCAATATCCCAGATGTGCTGCTTTAGTACATTTCAAAGCCAACAAGAGTCCTCAGGAGTGGAGCCAGAGTAGCTCCAAGAAACTTAAACTCTGCTAATTTAGAGAGATCAAGCTTTGTAGAAAGGACAGGTGTGGATGCCCTAGAGAGATGACATTGGCTACAAAGACCTTGCGAGCTGCAGGGATGAAACATGCTCCCTTTGAATGGCAAAATCTCAGGACAGCTGAAGAAGTTCAGTGTGGTGACCAACACCATCCATAAAGGAAAAATGTTCTCTCCAGGACACTGAAGTCTGGAACAGCACTCCAGGTATTTCTGATATCTATCTGCTTGATAAAATCCCCATTAATTTTCCAATTATGGATTTTGTAATTTTTTTGTGCAAATACTAGAACTTTATTTTTCTGATGGTTTATAACAAGTTTTTCTTCAAGGCAAAAAGAGACGAATGCCCTTAGTGCTCATCTCATTCCAAACTGGGAGAGAGACATGAATACAACATGATGTGCATGCAAAACTGCTGGAACCACTCTGTTTACTAATTCAGAGGATGTATTAATAGGGTGATGGTTAGGAGCCATGAGGCCCTGGATTATTGATTTAATATACAAGGGGGCTAAAATGCATCCTTGCCTCACCTCTCTCTGCATGGGAACAGCTCTAGAAAGATGTCCTCAAGGGTAGCATCTAACAAACAGGTGTTAGAGTAGAGAGACTCAGCAGTCTTTGGTCTGTTAGTTTTTCCCATAGGATCAAATCAAAAGCTGATTTGAAATCAATGAAGGCTGCAAAGGCTGTGAAGAGGGAATCTCTGGGTTGGGAAGAATATTTTTCAGCTAAATGGTGAAGGGGCAGACAGTAGACTATAAAACCAGCCTGTTCCTCAACAGCACATTCACACTTTCAACCCCATGTCATACTTCTAGATCTTTGGCATATAGCTTGTATTAAGCAGGCTAATGGGTCTATAGTTGGCAGGATCAAGTTATTTCCCTTATAGAAGGGATAACAATGGCATGGTTCCATTCCAACAGAAAACATGTTCAAATAATAATAATAATAATAATAATAATAATGTGTAAATAAATTGGCCACCAATCTTTGTTCTCTTTTAATAGTTCTGGGGCTTTTCCAGGTATTAACTGTGTAATAAGGTCCTTAACCTCAGATGTAGACACAGATGGTCAGTTAGAAAGAGCATTTTAACAGTAAGTCACAACTACATTACCTAATTATTTCATTGTGGAGATGCTCTGGAAATTATTCTCTCATGTTTCTGCAGCTATTTGGCAGGTTGAACCAAAGCCTGTATCATTAAAACAGCTGTTAACTAAGTTCTCCAATTTGCTATTCCAAAGCATTCTATCTACATGTTCTTGGTTGGTTGAATGATCATAGAAAAAAAAAACATAGATTGTAGATACCAAAACAAGTATTCTTTTTATTTGTACTTATTTTAACTCAGAAGCTGTCTACAATGTTGTCAAGTTCACTGAATTAAATTTCTGAACAGTTGTGAATAATTTTATCATACAGAGCAATGTCTCCTCCTTTTTCATTATTCTGATTCTTTTTAAACAAATTATAACCTCCATCTGCAGTATTCCAGTCATGAGAATTCACCCAATAAACCTCTGTAAAATCTATTAAATACAGTTTGTTTTCTGTAGAAGCTCATTCTTCTATTATTTTTCATATTCTGAACAGTCATATTGTGATGGAATGGTTTGATGAAGGCCGCGCTTGGGGAGATAAACATTTCCTTAGCTCCCAGCAGGAGCGTGGGAAGGTAAAGAAGATGAGACTGGCACCATCCTAAGGAATTCACGGTGTTTTGGCTGGCTGGCTTGGGAAGTGTAGATTCAGTCTGGCGAGGTTCTGGCTAAGAGGCTGGAGCTAATAAATGCAACAGAACTGTATCTGTACTGTCTCGTGGAGTTCTTTGGGCTGAACCTGACACATATATAGAAAACTCAAACAGCCTATTTTTTCCCCTGAATGTTCACTGAGTAGTTTAATAGGCTCCATTGTGAGAGATTCGGGAGGGCATTTGAAAGTTTATCCCAGGCAACTCAGTCCAGATGTGAGAGTTGTGGGGGGAAAGTGTTTCAAAGAGATCCTGCCTTAATTAACTCACCACTATGTAACTGAGGCTGCAAATTTACTCTTACCGTTTTCAAGATTCTGTATTTGCCACAGACTAGCATTCAAAATACCATTCTGACCTCCATGGCATTCTGGCTTCCTTGGTCTTGCCAGCTCACGGGCCTTGCCAAACATTCCCATTCCTTCTAGAGTGTGCAAGTTCCTTGCTTCAGGGTTTTCATTTCCAGCCTCTACAGGATTCAGTTTAATACATTTGGCCAAATATAATTGCCGGTCCTTGTGAGGTATAACCCATCCTGGGGCAGCAATCCATTAATGACGTTTACATTGAAGGAGCTTTACCTTTTCTTTAATCATTAGCATTGTATTTAATTTTCTTGCATACTTTGCAAGTCAACCTTTGCATTGAAAGTATAACACGTAGGCACAAATAACAGTTTTGTCCATTTTATTTGCGAACTCACTTTTTGGATTCCAATCATGTTTCTCTCTCACCTCTGAAAAGGTATCTATAAGTCTGAGAAATTTTTCTCAAATTTAATGAAGCAAAAATAAATCTCCATTGCCATTAAATCACAACATTATTAAATAGGCATTTCTAATTGTCCATTTTGCAAGGAAAACAGCTAGTTGTTTGGAGCATAAAAGGAAAGGAAATTAATACGTCTCTTGCCTATCATGTGAAAGCATTTTTATGCTATAGCTGGAACAAAGAGTTGTTATCCTGTCAATCACAGAGAAATGTAAATACAAATGTGGACAATTCACACTGGAATTCAGTTTATGTGGTGGAATGTTCACACCATCAACCATTGGAGTTCACTGTTCACAGCATGTGTAAGCTTTTGTGTAATCCTATTGTAATAAGGAATCATACCATGTTAATAATACTTTTGCTAATTCGAAATGAGCAAATGGCTTAATAAAAACTAGACTGTAGTATAATTCACACAGACACAAGTTATCCTAATAAAAATGACAGATACTTTGGCAAAGATGAGTTCCCTTAAAATAAAATGAGAACAGTGAAACAGCTATATCAGCATGCTTAGTAATTGTTATGTAACACAGCAATAATAATATTAAAGATGTTTGTGCTATTTTGGATAATTTTCTATCCTGTAATCTTATTTGGAACTACCTAAGAAGGTTACTTGCTACAGGGGCCATAAAATCAGCCATAGGCATTACACAACAATAAGCTTCCCCCTTCATATTTTTATTGCTAATGACAGTGCAGATCTCTGAGACAGAGAAATGAAGTGGGGAAGAGAAAACAGAGCAACTAATACTCCACACTTCAAAGAAATTCAGTGCTTAAGCATGGATCAGTATTAAGGAAATTAACTGAAATAAGCTTGGGTGGACTGACATTTCCTTCTGCTCTGAAGAACTTTTTATTTAATTAAAAACAAAAACAAAAACAAACAAGGATTAGCTGTTAAATTCAAATGGGGGAAACTCTGGTCAGTTTAAATATGATTTTTTTCTAACAGCCAGTTTAACTGGGTTTTCCCCCAATTTTGAAGTAACAATAAATCCTGAGAAAGATACCGGAAGCATCTTCTTCTTTTAACCCAGCCACAGGCTTGTAGAAGTTAAAGGAATACCTGGTCCCACACTCACTTCTGCTCACTTACACAGCAATAAACGATGGTTCAGCTTTTTGTCCAAATCAGGCCACTGTAATACTTGAAAAACAGTCTGTTTCAAGCCAGCAATTGCAGAGAATTTACAGGACACCTTAATTACTGTTATACACAAAAAGCATTATTGGGAATATCAGGGTGACTCACAATCCAGGTTGCCAATCAATTATGGAAAACAAGTCAACAATCCTGTAGGATTTATTTAGTTTTGCTTTTTATTTGTGCTGTTGAATCAGTTGTCAGAAAAGCAAGACTTTTTCTTGTTAGCTTGTTTTTTAAAAAAATTAAACTAACTCAACAGATATTGTGCTGGGCTGTTCTCAAACTACAGGTCAATCAGGCCTACATCATCAGCCAGACCCTCTGGACACCAACCATGAACCAGACAGCTCTGTTTCCAGATCTGGCTCAGACAAGACAATGTTTTATTTTGACAGTTGGCAATCCTATCTATCAGCTGGTTTACTTTCCAGTTGTTCATAATTTGGCTTTGATCATCAGTGCTGGAATACGTTTTAGTGAGAATATTTATGTGATGAACTTTTAAGCATGTGGATGTGGCTGTCTCCTATTTAATTCAAGTCACAATTCTGTAAGACATTACTCACTGTCATTTAAATGTGCTATATAAATTATTTTTTATATAGCAAATTATTTTTTATATAGCAAATTTAGTCTTGCAGACTAAATTTTGTATGGTTCTGTCAATATAAGAATTTATTACTATTGTGCCTATTAGTTGTTTTAAGTGAACTATTTTTCCTTTTAGGGGGACACGGTGGCGCAGCGGCTTAATGACGCTGAAAGTTGCCGGCCAGAAATGGTCGATGCTTCAGCGGTTCGAGTCCAGCCTTCGCGGTAGC